GGTCTCCAAATTAGTATACATCATCATCGCCATGAGGATTAGGTAGTTGAACTAGCACAATTTGTCTTATCACCTCATGATAAAGATGTCAATTAAGAAGGTTAAAATTCCATCCTCTTATAGGGTTGCGAAGATTAGAAACTCTTGTGTGGAGAATATGCTCAACGCTAGGAAAAGCTTACTTAACAAGAGGTTTTGGAAGAGGGGACCACTTACTGTACTAAAATGAAATTTGGTCACCCTTATCAACTTTCCAACTAACGTGCTCCATGAATTTATCCCAAACTTTACATATATTATTCCAAGTAAAAGAAGAGGAGCTAGGTTTATAGACCATAGGAATAGTAGGATTAAGGAATTTGTATTTGTCGTGGAGGATCCTAACCCAAAGATGATTAGGTTGAGTGATAGGACCCAGTGAAGTTTCATGATAAAGGTGATATTTTGAGACTTAAGCTTTTTGAAGCTAAGATCCCCATTAGATTTCTCTATATTAACATAATTCCAAAAAGAAAATAGAGTTTTTTGTGTCCACCAGAAGAGTCCTAAAGAAAATTTCTAGAGTTTCTCTCAAGTTCAACCAAGACATTGTTAGGCAATAGCATGATCTGTATGGAGTAACTAAGAATGGCCGAGAGAACAGAATTAATAAGGACAGCTTTGCCAATAATGTTGAGAAAATGACTTCTCTAATTAGAAAGGTGAGAGCAAACTTTGTCAAGTAAGGGGATAAAAGTGAGCTTTGATGTCCTTTCATGGATAGAGGGATATTAAAGTATTGCCAAGGTTTCTGATGAGAGAAATTCCCAATTCAAAACTGATCTGAGTAGCTTCTATTAATATTGACATTTCTAGAACAATAGAGCTTTGATTTCTCAATGTTAACTTTTTAGCTCGAAGCATCACAAAAGTCAGAGGGGCAGGACGTATAATTATGGCTTGGTTAATGGAAGCCTCTGTAAAGAGGAACAAATCGTCAACAAAAAATACATAAGAAATAGGAGGCCCATTGGTAGTAAGTCTAATTGGCTTCCGTTGATTTTTATTAATAGAACTGAGAATATAGTGACTAAGACATTCAATGCAAAGGATAAATAAATAAGGAGAAAGAGCGTCTCCCTGTCTAATGCCATAAGAGGGAGTGAATTCTTTGATAGGTTAGCCATTGCAAAGAACTCTCATACATGAAATAGAGATAGTGGCTCTGATTAATTTCTTGAAATGGTTGTTCAGCCTAATGGAATAGAGTGTGTCATCAATGAAATCCCATGAGAGTCTATCAAAAGCTTTTCAAGGTCAACTTTAAGAGCCATGAAACCTCTATTCCTGGTTTTGTTTCTCATGGAGTGAATAATTTCTTGAGCAATAATGATATTATTATTACCAACCATAGATGAAATTGCACTAGGAATCTCCAACAAGATTGTTTATATACTAACGTAAACAATTGGAGAGGAACTTGGTGATAATCTTGTAGCTAATATTGCAAAGAGAGATAGGCCGAATGTCCTTCATGTAAGTCAGATTTTTAATTTTAGGAATGAGTGTAATGAAAATATCATTTAACTCACTGATAGTGTTAGGATTAATAAAGAACTTTTTAACAAGTTCAAAAATGCTAGATTTGAGGTCATTCCAATAGGTATAAATGAAACCGGCATTAATACTATCAAGACCTGGAGCCTTAAAGGCTCTAATTTTGAAGGCAACAGTCTTAATCTTTTCTTCAGTCACCTCCCTATCAATGGATTGGAGTTGGATAGTAGAGAAAGGTAGAAAACTCTTCTATGTAATAAGTTTGGGTCTTTCCTAAGTGTCTTCCTTGAAGAGATTATCAAAGTAAGAAGCAGCCATGTTTTTTAGAGTAATTTAATCTTGAATCCAAGTATCATCATCAACTTTAAGAGATTAGATCTAGTTTCTTTTTCTTTTGATGACAGATGTAGCATGGAAATATTTAATATTATGATATCCTTACTTTAACCACTTATATATAGATTTATGGAACCAAATCAACTCTTCCTACAAAGTGACCTTGTTAAATTCTTTCCATAATGATTTTTCAAGTTTTTGGAGAAAGTAATTATCAGTGTGAATCGTCTGACAATTAATTCCTTCCCATCTAAGAAGGATCTTTTATTTCTAGAGGGAATATTACCGATAAAATTTTTATTCCATAAGGTGGCAAAGTTGACAAATTTAATCTTCCCTTCATTCCCGTCATTATTTTGCCAGGATTCCTTGATAATAGGTCTGTGATCTAAAAGTTTAATATTACCGATGAAATGTTTCTTCAAGCATCCAAGCTACTTGACATCTAAAAGTTTTTTGTTGTTGACCAAGATGTTCTTTATTATGCAGTTGAATTCTAATAGGTCTGTGATCCAAGCCATATTTGAGGAGATGATCGAAATTGGCTTGGTTGAATTTAAGTCTCCACTCTATGTTGTAAAAATCCCAATCTAGTCTTTCTTTAACATTTCTTTCCCCCAAGTAAATCTATCACTAGAAAAATTTAGATCAAGGAGACTGAAAGAATTGATACAATCTCTAAATTATTTTATAGATCTCTAATTATATCCGATACCGTCACATTTGTCTTCACAAGAGAAGTAGGCATTAAAATCACCTACAATAAGCCAAGGATCAAAGATATTCTGAGCAAGGGACTTAATGGAATCCCAAAGAACAATATGATTATAAGGATTTGGATCACAATAAACACAGGATAAAAGATAGGAGTAGTTATTTGATAAATAGTAATTTTATATATTTTTATCCTTTTAATTTAGACTTTTAAATATTTATTTAAGGCTAATTGAATTTAATTAGATATTATTTGATTTTATTAGCTAATATTCAGTTTTAAAATTTCAACTATCTAAATTTATGATTTTAAAATATAAATAATATCTTTAATATTTTTTGCATAGGTGCTATTTAATTTTATTTTATTTATACAGATTTTTTAGATTTAATTTAGAAGATATTGATAAAGAATATTTTAGATAAGAAAAATATGAGCATGCTTGGAGATCAAATCAAGAATCAAATTTTTAAAATTTTGTTTGAATTTATTTTGAATTATTTAGTGTAGTTTTCAATTAGGGTACTTAAAGTAGTTTTATCATTTGATTATTAACTTTTGGTTTTGCCGTACGCATCATCCATTATATACACATATATAAAGCAAGGAACGGATAAGGGGGAGAATTGAAAAAAGAAAGAATCAAAGGCATGACTTTTATGGAGAATAAACCACAGAAGCGACTTCTATTTTTCTTTTCTTCAATACAGGCGATGGCTTGTCAATTTCTCATCTCATGTTTCTTAATTTTTAGTTTCATGAATAGCTAATTTTTTTAGTGTGATCAATCATAAATCATAATTCTAAATTTTAATTAGAGTCTTTGATATTCAGGGAAGATTTTATTCTAGCTTTATTTCAATTTTCTCTTTTTCTCTCTACCTCTAAATTTTATGCTTTAATTGTTATTGTTGATTAGAGTAGCTTTATTGCATAATTTTTGGGTTATAAATTTTATCTGAGATTTTACTTGTTATTATCGATTGATATAGTAACATAAGAGTAATTTGACATAGTTTGGGTGATTATCATGCTTTATTTTTGGTATGGCTAACATAAAATAATTGTTAGGTTGTGGGTTAAGAGAGATTTAATTAATCTATAACTTAACTTCTTGTTTAATTCTTAAATGATAATTTGAGAAATATATAATAAAATTAAAATAATAAAGTTGAATAAAATTAATTTATTTTGTGGACAAGGAAGATTAAATTTAGGTGATTGGGTTGTGATTGATTACGCTTCTTGTTCTTGGTAATTTTCTTAGTTGAATTTCCTTTATTTATTTATTTCCAATTTAGTTTTTAATCTCATCATAAAAAACCCTCCATTATTTACTTTTTATAATCATAATTCAAATAGTTACTCTATTGACTCTTAGAAAGACGACCTAGGTTGCGCTTTATTAAAAATCTAGTTTTTATTAACTTTGGTGCTATTTGCCAGTAGTGTCATTATTAGAAATAAAATTAACCCTGTAATGAAGAATTTGGCGTTAGAATAAAGATAATCAATATAAATAGTGTCATTATTTCATAAAATTCAAATACCACCAGCATAGCCAGTAGCTTTAACACAGATCCAATCAAAGAAACCTAATTTTTTAACAATTTTATTAGCTCAAGATCCACTGGCTCTAATTTCAACTAAAATAAGAATTTGAGTATTATAAGTTTTGGTAATTTCTCTTATGCATCCAGGGAAATTTTTTCCATAGGGACCTCTACAATTCTAGTAAATAATATCCATAAATGAAGAAAAAGAGTGGATAAACTTGAAAAACATATAAGGCTTTCATAAGTGAAATTAGATCTCATCCCCATCTTTACTGAATTCATCAATGTGAGAATTATCAAACTCTTCATCCAGTAGGTCTTCATCGATGATATCATCTTCATTACCCTCGAACAAGAGATCATCATCATCATCAACTTTATTATATAAGGACTTGTTTTGAATTTGCACGGAAGGATTAAAGTTCAGTTGGGTTCCAAGAACAATGTTGATAGGGATATTAGGATCAAGTGGTTTCCTCAGTTCCAAATTGACACTCGAATTTGAAGGAGAAATTTAATTTTCAACCGAATTATTATGTTCTATGCCTTACGACCATACTTTAAGATTGGCAGAGAGAAAAGCTTTAGTTGAAGGATCATTCTTGATGGGCTTCCTTTTGTCTGCTTCATTGGGCCTCTTTGAAGAGCCCAATTCCCTTTTATTCCCTTTGACTATGGTGTAGATACATTTAGAGGAGCCCAAAGCTGAGCATTTCATTTAAAGTCCATTAGCTGGGCCTTTATCCAATGTGATAGACTTTGGGCCATTCCAATTGAAGCTGGGCCTAATGTGAGTAGCTTTCTTTCCTTTAACCAGTCTTCGAGCGTTCTCGTCATCTCCAGAAGCATTAGCCAACACATCATTCTCTTCAATTCGGAATCTCTTGCTTCCTGCTAAATCCTTCCTTCTCTATACCTTTCTAACAACCTTTGCTGTTGGTTTTGTAGATGGACCATTAAAGGCAATTAGGTAGCTCATTTTTCCATCATCTTTGTGCTCTAGTGGCTAGAATATCAAATCTGGATCTATTCTAGAGGTTAGATCCTCGATTTTGGTGAATCTGCTTGTTACTCGTTTGGTACTTCGAGTTTCATGCATGGGCAAGATGTCAAAATTTCATCCAATCATCACAAATTTCTTTCGGTAGGTAAGCTTTCGATGACCCTATTGGATATTGAAATTGCTTTTCTTGATTTATCTAGTTTAATGAATAGCTGGTAGGATTTCGTATATTTTCGTGATTGGGATATCTATATCATTCTTGCTCTTCTCCTTCTCTTTTGGTTCTGAGGCTATGTGGACATGTGTTTTTGTTATGGCCGTAGCAACCACATCTAAAACAAATAAGATTCAAGCTTTCATATTCACCATTGTAAAGCTCATCTCTAATAAGAATCCTTGGCATAAGTTTCTTCTGGAAATCAATTTCAACACTAATTCAAACAAATTTCTCCTTTCCGTTTTACCAAGCTCATTTTGCATATATGCTTTAAAGAGTGTGTTCACATCGACTTTAAGAGTTTTGCCTATATAGTTACCTATTCTCGATAGAATTTTTTTGTCATAGCATTAGATGGGAATATTGTTTAATCTTACCCAAAGAACTATCTTGCCAAGGATATTTTTGTTTGGGTTGAAGATTGGTGACCAGTGCTAGGCTAGAATACAATGGTCGAAGGTTGTCCACGGACCTCCATTAAGAATGTTTTGATAAAATGCTTGATCCTTAGTTCTCATTATGTAATAACCATTTACCAAATTGGTGGGTTCAAAGTCTCTAATATGCCACATCTTTGCTAATTTGGGCTTGAGAAACTTAGGATTAAGTTGAATACCCAGTATTTTGATGACTAGATCATCCATCCAGGATGTGCATATTTTCTTCAATTCCTCATCTGAAATCTAGATGCTAGGATAGTGATCCATCAATTTCTTAGTTTCATCTGAAGGAGTCTACTTTTGATCTAGGTCCTTAGCTAAAGTATCATTAATTTACTTAGTGTTACTCCAAATTCCATTGCACCCATTATAGCCTACCAATGAGTCTCTGTAAGAAATGGGAGCTTTGAAAGCTTTAATACCTTGAATCAAGTTTTTATTGGTTAGATTGCCTACTCTGTTACTCTCAAATTGTATGTCCATAGGATGAACCTCATTTTGCTTGTTTACTGATCCTTTGTCTATCATTTCTTCATCCACCTTGGAGACATTTCCATTGATAAAAATCAACTCTTCTTTGGATGCAGGTGGATCCATGCAAGCATCTTGAGATGTCGAGGCAAAGAAGACAAAGTTTGGATTAAGAGCAAGCTTGGAATTCATTGAGAGAAAAGTGGAGTTGCTTTTTTCAAATTTGTTTTACATTAAGCACTACATTACTTTCTAGTCATTGCATTTTTATGGAGGCCAGACAGATTATTGATCACAATCCACGAAGAAGAATTGATGATCACAATTTGCACAGAAACTCAAACTATCATCATAGAGGAATCAAGTTGTACTGTTACAACGTTTTTGGTTTGAAGTAGACAGAAAAGTGATTGTTTTAGACCATGTTTAATGGATTATTATTTAATATTATTTATTTATGTTTATTATTTGAAGATAAAGATTAGATGTCATTCCTTATCAATAATCGAATTAACTCAGCTAGTATTAATATATTAAATTCATTTTTTATCACTCGCTTCATATATTGATCAAATTTATTTTATTTGATAAATGAAGCAAACATAAATGTAAACATCTAATGAAATAAAATGGTTTATAAATAATTTACTAATTTATAGCATTAACCCATCATTCACCCCAAAAAAATCACTAAAAAATCCCACACAAAAAATCTAAATATAGAAGTCTTAAAAAATTACAAAATTACTCCAAAATCTCATGACATTTACACAAAATGTTAATTTTAAATATGTCTCCAATGACTTTACTACAACTAAGCCATTTTGTTCTTAATCCTCATCTATTATATGTACATTTCAATCGTCTTTATATGTCATTCTCCATATTTATAATGCTTTTCTAATTATTATTCAATATTATTATTTGTCCAGTTTTCAATTTTTCTTGTTACATTATTTTCAACTTTATTTCTATTTAAATTTTTGTTTTATATTCTAAGTTCATCATACTTGGATAAATTAAAGACAAATTTGTATTCTTGATATTGAATTTTGTTCAGTTGAATCTCAATTCTTGCTTGCCCTATTGAAAATCATGCAAACAAACACTAACTAGGCACTGATCGACCATCTTCTTGTCCGAAGCAGCAAGTAAAACATTTCTAATATTTTATTATTTTTATTATTTTTTCGGGCAGAAATGACATTCATGATTGCGTTATTGTAGAGAAGCCAATATGTACAGGCTAAACAAATTATACAAGCAAAAGCACGATGTGAAATATACATCTGTGAAAGATCCAAATATATCAGAAAGGTGGAAAAAAAATCTTGTGCTAATGCTTTATGCTTCTTCGGTTTATTATCTTCACCTCCTTGAGCATGGATGCGGCTTCTCAGTTCTTCAAAAGCCTTCATGCTCTCTGCATCAAAGCCTCCTGCAAACTGCAGATAGTTCCAAAACATGTTTCAATTATCATTCAAAACTGGTTTACATCATCCAGAGTTTTGCCATCAACAAACACAAAGTCAATGAGCACAAGTTCAAGAGAGAATTTATCCCAAAAAACTAGTCTATTAGGTGAAAGAACTTCTCACACTTATAAACCTCATTACATTTGTGAGGGTTTCCAATGAGTTATTTATAACAATGCAACCCATTCAAGATCCAACATCCTTGGCAGTTTCACTCCACAATACTTTAATTAGCTTTTTGCTGGTCGAAACCATTCTAGATAGCCCTCTTCATGACATCAATCTCTCAACGAGAGTACTAATATTACAAGTACAAGTTTAAAAAGAAAGCCCATTCCAAAAAACCAACTTATTAGATGGGAGAGCTTCTTACACTTATAAATTCCACTTCACTTGTAAAGTTTCCAGGTGTGACACGCCCAAAGGGACATGCCAATCTTAAACACCAAGATTGGTGATGCATGAGCTATTAGCTTGACAGCAAACCATATTTGTTTAAATAGTATCAAGAGCCTAAAGGAGAAGTACCTGATGAACACGGAAAGCAAAGCGGACACCTTGCAAAATCAGGAATTCTCTCATTGGTTCTTTCTCTGGTCCAGATAATGTATCGAGTTCAGATGCAACACGTTTCATATACTTCTTCGCCAGTTGCACAGAAGAAAGCTTGATCTGCAATGGGAAGTTTACAGGACATCAACATTTGATACCGTTGCATAGACTTCTTGTTACAGAAGAGACTTCTTATTCATTCTTGAGTCATAGTGTGTACATGTGTGTGCGTGTGTATGCACTCCGATAAACTATTCTCGTATTTTAGATTCAACATCCCATGAAAGTACATCTTTATCCAATTCATCCCTTGAAAGAAAAGCCCTCACAGTCACTTGGTGCAAAGAGTCAATAAAGAACCACATCACCTTAAACACCCACTTTGACACTGTCAATTACAACATACGTATGTGAGTGTGTGTGATTTTCTCCTTCTAGAAATTCCTGTACATGTATTTCTGTCATATTATCAACTGAACCACGGTATGCACAAGCAAAATATTAACTCTATGCTCAACCATTATTAACGATCATCCATAATTTCACAACTCTATTTGAAATTGTAAGCAGACTTAATATAAGGGGAGCAATATGTTTGAGCTAATCACTTTAACTTTTTAAACAGTTGAATGATTTGGTTCAGAATTCTTGAACTAGAGGAAAAAAGTTGCAGATGAATGAATTTTTATATCTCTTACACAGAATCATTAAAAACTATAACTAGTTTAAAGGTGAAATAGATATTATTTATAATAATATAAAATAATGGCCTTTCTAGCTGCTACAACAGAAACTGTTAGTGATTAGCATACCTTGCCAACAACTCCGGAGTCTAACAACCAATTTACTGGGATTCCAAATTCCCTGTACCGTGAAATAGCCATATCTCTCGTACGTAAGAGTGCATATACGCTTTGCTCCACTCTGGAAATGATCAAATCAAAAAAGAAACTACGGTTGTTAGATCAAATTGAAGCAACTATAGAAAACTGTTAACCAACATGCACAAACTGTCAACAAAATGAGCAAAGACCACACTAAAATATTTTATGACTTGTTAAAGTCCAAACAATCTCCCGGCCACAGCCTTGAAAGAGAAATCATTATAGCTTTGAACTCTCAAGAAACTATCCACCAAACATTGACTTCTTAAGCTAAGCATTTAAGACTTCAAGAAAGTAAATCTACTGCAGAAATAAAGATACATACTTTTCAAGCAATGAGTACATTTTCTTCAAAGCAGCTTCGCATGGAAGATTGGGATCATCATGGAAGGAGGAAACTTGTTTCTCCAATTTTATCAGATCCTGATATTCAAACGCTGCTTCCCTCAGAGCATCTGCTTTCCCTTCAGGCCAATCAAAGTGCTTGAGGACAGCTCGTTCATCAACCTAACATAGGGAATGCAATCAGATGAGTAAGTATGCCGTGATCACATGCTATAGAATTGTGAATTGGGAAAAAACTTGAAAGGCAAATGACTCGGTAATTAATAAATTGGATTGCATTTCCTAGGGAAAAATTTAGAGGCTTTCCCTAGAAATGAACGTGCAAAATAGAGAGTGCAGGTAGTAACATCCATGATTCCCCATAAAAATTACACCTGAAATGCTTTTCTCTGATGGATGGTGTATTCAAGAATAACACTTAGGCATACCAGGAAAGAGAGTTCCTCATCTAGCCAGTTAACAAAGGCCACTAAATCACCAATGTTTGAGAAGGAGGATGCTCGAACTTCATTTGCCAGGGACATGACAAAATCACCTTGTGTTTCTACATCAGCTTTCACCTACATTCATCAAAATATATATATAATAAATATAATCTTATGTAATGAATCAGACTCCATGGCAACATGAGAATAGAGAAAATAGAGTGAAACGTTTATTTACAGCTAAGAGGAATGACGATCTATTCTCAATTTCCCCAATCATATTGCTCCTGGCATCAGATGCATTAGTTGTTGAGGAAATTATGATGAAGTATCCTTCTTAGCCTCCCGCTTCATCAATGTTTGGTAAAACTCAACAAGCTCAGGGGCCCTGTGAACTTTATCATTACCCATTGCCCCTCTAAGGCTTCCTGGTGGAGGAGGAGGAGGTGGAGGAGGAATAGGTGGAGCAGGTGGTACTTCCTTGGAAAGATTTGAATTTGTACTGACAGTAGCACCATCAGATGGCTTAGGAGGTGGCCGAGGCACCCTTGGAGGCCTTTTTTCAATGTGAGCCAGTGTCATCTTGCTAATGGTTTTATTATCAACATCATTAGCATTCTCAGATTGATCGTTGGGACTGCCAGAAACAAATGTCTTCTCCTTTATTAGAGAAAGTCTTGCCGGCAAAGACACAGACTTGTCTCTTTCAGCCTTGGCCAAGTTCAAATTGTCACCAAACTTCTGCACTCTTGCTTGCTCAGCCTTTTCTTTGATATGTCTCTCCCTTTCTAAGGCCAATTTATGGCGGTCTTTATATGCAGGATATTTTTCATCTAGAGACCCATCAATTGATTTGGACATCAATTGGAATGAAGCTGCAACTGAATGCAGGGAGTCAGTAGATGGAACTTTGTCAGGAGAATCGGTTTCCTGATCCCTCAGCCCAAAACTAGTAATGGCCACGCTATCACCAGCATTCCTCAGCATCAAAGTTTCCAGTGGACCCTTAGGTCTCTGGGTCATCATACTCATCCTTCTTGGAGAGCTTCCTGAAAGAGATCTGGGCGATGATGAAAGAACACTAGAATCGTCTTTGACTTTACCCCATTTCTTCAACTTTTGATTAAGCTAGTTTTCTTGCTAAGATTACTATATTTGCTAGTAGAGCTATCAACAGAAGTATTGTCAAAATCTTCACTGCCAGGCGATGAGGGGTGGGAGAAGTTGCTATCAAGATCTGTGTCTCCTTGCCCACGTTCTGATCCAGCATATTCTAACATCAACTGCTTAGCCTTCTCCTGAGATTTTGGGCTAAGACTCTTGTTGAGATCACGTGCTGATATTTTTCCTGGAGGGGCCCGGTAATTCCTGAGCTCATATCTCAAACATGCATTGACCCATCGAAGGTATACAAGCTCTTCAACTTCATTAAACCTATTCATTTGAAGTCCCTCAACTTGCTTTAAGAGGTCTTCATGGGCATGCCTTAGATTGGTGACTTCCTCTCTGGCCTTGGCAACCATTTCATTCTGCAGTTTGAAACAAAGTATTTAATTTAAATCACTCTAATACAAGTATTACAGAAAAAAAGAGATGGGCGCTAACTTAAAAACCAAGAGAACTTCAAATTAGATGAATATTATATAGGTCTAGTGTTTAGTTCTTTAGTTCCTTTCTAGTATTCACTGAATTTTTGCAGTAGTTTCAATCATTTCTTCAGTGCTGTGCCTTCTAATTATTCAGCCGACGAGATAAAGAGGTCCAAGTAATCTTGAACAATTGTTGCATGAAAGGGAGA